GTATATATATATATATATATATATATATATATATATACATAGATATTCATATGACCGTATATAGATATAACATATATCTGTATATATCTATTTATCTATATCTGTATCTATCTATCTATCTATCTATCTATCTATCTATCTATCTATCTCTCTCTCTCTCTCTCTCTCTCTCTCTCTCTCTCTCTCTCTATATATATATATATATATATATATATATATATATATATATATGTATGTATATATGTGTGTGTGCGCGTGTGTTGTGTGTGTGTGTGTGTGTGTGTGTGTGTGTGTGTGTGTGTGTGTGTGTGTGTGTGTGTGTGTGTGTGTGTGTGTGTGTGTGTGTGTGTGTGCGCACATATATAAATAACATATATATATGAATATACATATGTATATGCATATGCATATATATACATATATATACATGTATATACATGTATAAACACACATACGCGCACACACAGTGTGTGTGCACTTGCAATATTATGTTGTTCATTAGAAAAGGCTTTCGCCGGCGTTTCTTTCCCTTTCCATGACAAATGGCCGAAAGTCTTCACAACTGCCAGGTAGCATTTAACACAATGGAGGCTTAATTAGAACTTTTACCAAGTCACTTCCCATAATCAAGGCTGATTTGGTGGAGGATTGAGCCTTGTTTTGTTAATGCGCAACTAAGCCGAACTTGCACAAAGACGGCTTTTTTATTTAATTTGTTTACTGCCTGTGTGTGTTTGGAGGTCATGGCTTTGTGTTTATTAGATTCGGCTCCTTTTTTATTTTTTGCTCGGCTGGAAATGCAAATATGAAAGTGGATTATAGATATGCCACTTTATTTCACGGTATTTGAGAGTATTTCTTGTTATTTTCCTTGTTTTTTTTTTTCTATCTTCGTTTATTTGTATATATACTTTTTTATTAGGTTACTCAGGTATTTGATTTCGGATGAATTCCTCAAAATCTTCGTGTTAACTCTCCTGAAAAGCGATTGCAGCCTTTCCCAATATTGCACATTTACTAGTGCCAGGAGACGTGATTCTTATCTTTATACATTTTCTTAACATTATTTTCTTTTTTTTACATTACAGTCTAGTAACCCGATCTCACTAATGATAACAATGAATTAATGAGCGTGACAATACGTGGCCGCACGTGACGCTATCTGGCACTGTTCGCCGCCAGAGAAAAAAAAAAAGGTTTACTCTCCGTCACCCATTACGTCATCGTCCTTTGCCTCCATCATCTTGGGGGAAATTGGCGGAGTCCGTGCGTGACGCCGCCGCCGCCGCCGCTGTTTCACGCCGCTGGCTACGTGCCGCTCAGACGCTGGGCTTTCTGGAGGGGAGGGGGGAGGGGCGGAGGGAAAGGGGGGTGAGAGGGTGAGGATCAGGGGGAGGGGGAGAGGGAGGGAGAGGGTGAGTGTGGGAAGGTGAGGATGAGGGTAAAGATGAAGGTGAGGGAGGGAGAGGGGGAAGATGAGGGTGAAGGAGGGAGAGGGAGAGGGTGAGGGAGGAAGAGGGGGAAGGTCAGAATAAGTGAGGGGAGGAGAGGGTGAGTATGAGGGTAAAGATGACAAAAAGGAGAGGGGGAAGGAGGGAGAGGAAGAAGGGGAAGGCGAGGGAGGGAGAGGAAGAGGGTATAGATGAAAGTGAAGGTGAGGCAGAGGGTGAGGGTGAGGATGAAGGCGAGGGAGTGGGAAAGGGTGAGGGTAAGGGACAGGGAGATGGAAAGGGAAAAGACGGAGATGGAGAGGGAGAAGGTAAAGATTTGCGTGAAGGAGAAGGAGAGAGCTGGAAGAAAGGGATACATACATACGTATATATGTATGTATGTATGTCTTGTAAATATGTTTATACATTTTATTTTGCCGAACACGGAAAACATTCTACGTCAGAAAATCCCGTTAATCTCATTATATTAGATATTCGATGATAATAATAATCATCATGATAATAGTACTGATGATGATTGATGATGACAAGCATAATAATTATAATGTTGTTATTATTATTATCGCTATAGTTATTATTGCTGTTACTGTTATATATGATGCTATTAATAATGATGATAATAATAGTGATAGTAGTAATGATGACAGTAATGGTCATGTTGATAATGACTGATGAAAGTGATAGTAATTATGATGATAATGATAACAATAACACTTGTAATGGGATGTCGAACCATCGATAATAATAATAATAATAATAATAATAATAATAATAATAATAATAATAATATATAATATATTAATAATAATAATGATAATAATAATAATGAAATTGATAATAATAACACCTGCTATGGAATATCGAACCATCGGATGTTATTAAAATGATAATAATAATAATAATAATATAAAATAATAATAATAATAATAATAATAACACTTATTATGGAATGTCGAGCCATCCGACGTATTGAAAACTGCAACCCAAAAATTAAAAGCATTTAGAAGTCCGCAAATTTTTGTGGGCAGGCGTTGGTAGCAATGGCAATG